TTGTAGGGCTCCATGTAGTCATCATCCTTGATACCCCAAGCTAGCTTCTGAGCCTTAGAAGCTTCTTCATGCTGGTTTTCACCTGTGCCATTTGTGTACTCAGACTCCATGGATGGCTCCTTGTCAGCAGAGCCTTCCCAGAACTCTTCAGGCCTCACAGAAGAAGGCAAAGGAAGATCATATTCATGGCCATCATCAGACACCTCAGGACCACATGCATTTCCCTCGCACTTGACCATCTCTTCAAAGGTCCATTTGTCAGCCTGAAATGAGTCCTGCGCATGTGAAACATTCATGGAGCAAGGGTGATGACAACCTGTGCACTGCTTTGAGTTTGCTAGTTGTGTTTTGGTATACCCAGTCCTGCTCCAGCCATCGAGCCCTTTTCACAGTAGGGTCTCCCTCTTCATTGAGGGCAGCAAGCCTTTTCATTTTGAACCAGAAAAACTGCTTGTGAAGCAGAGTTGGCACACTGCTTGCAAACACTGTATCCATTGACAAGAAAGCTCTTCCTGGTGAGAGATGGAGGCATGTTTTGTAAACAATGTGTTGTTCAAACTAAAATGACAAAGATACAGATTGGAGGTGTGCTACCTACATAGAAACACCATGAAGCAAATGATAGCAAACAAAGTATGATTGTTATTTTGCTTTACAAACAAACCACATCAGAGAGCCTAAAAGGCTAATGAGAGATCAAAAAAACAAGCCTAAAAGGCTAATTGCACATAAAGCCTAACAGGCTAATAGCTCACAGAAAACACAGAACAACCATGGTAGGGTGTATAGGGGTTTGGGCAGGGTTGAAGCTGGTGAAGCAAACAAAGCAGTGCGCAAAGAAAATGCACAAGTGCACATCATTTTCCACAGGCGCAGAAAAGAGCTTGGCAGCATTTACATCCAAAGACTAGCTGCCTCATTTTGCCTTGGCCTTCTTTTTGGGAGGCAAACCATCATCAGATGCACCACCCCTGTACAACCAGCAATGTTCCTTCACAATAGCTGGGTTTTCCAGCATTGGAATTGTGAGGCCTTTGTAGTTGACTTCAGATAGTGCCATATTCACAGCATCATCTTCATCAGCTGTCTTGACAAACATGTAGGGGCAAAGAATGCCAGTCTCCTCTGGCTTGTCAAAAGATGTAAAGGTCTTGTAGGGCTGCAATGTCCAGGCCTGGCCCTTCCACTTGACATAGAGTCCTTTGGAGGTATCCAGTTTGCTCTGATCCTTCATTTTCACCACATTGCCAATGGGATACAATTGCAAATCCTTTTTCTTCAGTTTCTTGGTGGACACCAGTCCAGTGGGGTGCACAGCAAAGGCCACACTGTCTACACCCTTCGAGCATTCCATGTAGGCTTGAAAAAGTAGATAGGTGATTTGGGTCTTGTCCCAGTCATCAGCAATGGCTGCAGAATTCTCAGGCACTTTCTGCAGAGCCAGCTTAGCATCACAGAGCTGTGTCACATCCTTTTTTGTTTTCTTCCACTGTTTGGCATCCTTGAACTCACATTCCACTCTGACACAGTCACCAAAAATTGGTCTGTTCACAAAAATGCAGTGTGTATCGGTGAGTTCCTGCAGGATATAGATTTTGTCAGACTCCTTGGTGACATATTTCTCACCAACCTTTAGGTGGTCATGCTGGAGCAAAGCCACCTCAGCTGCACTGGCAGACAACAAGTTCCTCACCACTGAACCATGAGGCCCTTCTGCTGCAGAACTTGCTGAAGCCGAGCTTGGTGTGCTTATAAGCTCTAACCCAAAAGCTTCACAGATTTCCTCAAAGCTTGTCCACATGCTCTCATCTCTTCCATGCTTTTGCTTTTGCAGCAGGAACAAGACACACCTCACTGCCAGTTTTCCATACGCTTGGACATGCTGAGGTTTGGACACATCAATCTTGCCCCAGGAAGTCTTCAACACACCTTCCAGCTTAATGGCCTGCCCTTGTAAACTGGTCTTGAGTTTCTCAAAGTCACTTCTAAAGATGATTCTGCTGACATTTTCCAAGCTCTTTTTGCTTGTCAGTGCACAACAGAGCAGGGCATGTCTCAGCATTGGCATCTCAGTGCCCTCAACTCTAAAGTTGAAATAGGAGAACTCCTTCATCATTTCAGAGCCCAGCAACAATGAGGGACCAAATCTGGAACCTCAGCTGCATGGCCATTGGAAAATGGACACATTTGATGTTTCATAGCAAAAACAGTTGGGTAAAACAACATGCAATTGAAGCCAAACAGGCTAATGAAATGTGGTGGGATTGGTTGATGTAATGCTGAACATTTGTGTATAGGCAACATGTGTAGCAGTGTCAGTCACCAAAAATACAACTTACTTAGCTGGCTTGGCTGCTGAATGCTTGAAGGTGCTGCAGCAAGGGCATTGACTTGCCCCCACCAAACATCCGCACATAGTGAGCCACATCCTGCAAGTAGTGGCCACAAGCTGGTTCTCCAGCTTTGACAGATTTGAGGGCACTTTGTAAAGGAACTCCATTCTCCAGCAACTTTGCAATCTGAAGCATGGTTTGGAGTTCTGTGCTGGCCAAAGCTGTGGTGTTGCAGCTGTTTAAAGTCAACTGACAGAACCTTGCAAAAGAGCTCAGGCACTCTTCCACCTTGCAAGAAACTACACACCACTGCCATCCATCTTGAACAACTGATTCCAGGTCCAATGGCATATGTAGGGATTCCCCATTTGGGCTCAAAGCCTGGGATTGGAGAGCTCGACAGTATTGTACAAAATGGGAGCACCCTAAGGTTAAATACCTTTCCTGTCCACTCACTGCTGCCAGCATCCCTTGAGAGTTGGCTACCAGGTCTTTGTTCTTTTGCAGCTGCCAATTCCTAGTGGCAGGAACCTGAGAGAGCTCTATGGCCACACTGCTAGAGGGCAACAACGATGGCTTCAGCCCTGTGCTCAAAATCTTTTCTCCTTTAAAATGCACGTCGTAGGGGTTGCACATTGTTGACCCCCTGTTCTCTGGGTGTGTCAAGAGCTCTGAAGGCTTTAGAGTTGCCACCCATGCCAAATTGTTCCTCTTCAGCACATCTATGATTCTATCCAACCTGGAGTTGACCCCTTGGTCAGTCGACTCCATCAAAGCTTCAACTTCAGCTTTGACTGCAGCTTCCATGGCCACTGAGTAGGAAGCTTTGTGCACTCAAACACAGGTACATGTACACTTGCTCTCTGCATCTCTTATGCTAAGTTTGAAGCCCTGTACTAATCATGAGCGCCCACATGCTTGCAACAACAATTGTTCAACCAACATCTACTTGATCAAAACATTAAATCCACAGGCATGGACAGCAAACTTTCATAAACTGTCAGCATAACTGTGAAAACAAGTCTTGGCACAACACATTTGCACCTTTTTACCTCACAACTCTTCCAGGCAGCAGCTCCTAGCCCCTTGCAGTTTTCTGGTATTTGCCACTCTTGGTGTAAGCTCTGGTGGCACTTGCTTCTCCAAGGTCAGGTCGAATATAGCTAAGTACTGCTGCAATCATTCCAGCATCCAAGAGAATCATGGGGTCTGCCACATTGTATCTCTTTGCTGGACACAACATAGTGACAGGAGTGTTGCCAACTTTCACCTCAACAGTGAAAGATTCAGTATTGTATTTGTTGGGCGCAGCACTAGCATCAGCTTCTTGTTGGTCTTCCCAATCACCCTTGTTGGTTCCCTTCACTGCTTCATTCCTCAATGTTTTCAACATCTGAAATCTGACACCATTGGCCAAGGACATATTCTTCTGACTCTTCTTGGACACAAGCTTGGTGATGGCATAGTTGGTGGGCGACAATTTGATGTAAGTTCTGCCATCTGAATCCTGTAAGGGGTTGAATGTGGAGCTTGCCTAGTAATTTTAGTTTCTCCTTGTGTGTGTGTGTGTTTGTGTACTTTCAATGTTGTTTTTGAAAAATGCAGTTGGCATGGCAAGCATTCATGTTGAGCCCATGTCCTCCACAAGCAAACTGGGTGGGATTTTGACAAAGGCTCCTTTCCCAAACTTTATTGAGGTCACATGTGATATCTTCACAGCATCCTCACCCATGCTGTCACCATCATCTTCAGAGCTCTCCCCCATGGTGTATGAGGTAAACACTTGAAAGCACCCTTGTTTTTCCAATGAGCCACATAACCAATCATTGTTTGAGCCAGCAAGAAGCAGTTGTGCCCTGGTTGACAAAATGCTTGCATTTGCACACAAACAACATTGTAAAAAGCTCTTGCGCAAAAGCCTAAAGGGCTAATGTCCACACACACAAACTTGCTGCAAAACAACATTTGAACCAGCCTAAAAGGCTAATTTGCAATGCTGCCAAATTGAAATTGTTGACAAGAACCAGAAACATGTTTTAGACGAAAACAACAAATTCTATTTCTCTTGAGACAAAAATAATTCAACAAAGCTGTTCAATTTTTAGCAAAAAAGTTAACATAAAGTTAACATAAAGTTAACATAAAATTAGTAACCACTTATGAAAAATTAAAAAAAATAACATAGTTATCTAACAGTTATAAAAAACTATTAATAATGTTAACTGATTATAAAAGTTATAAGCATTTAGTACATAGTTAGAACACAGTTAACACATAGTTGTAACTAGTTAGCTAATGGTGTTAACAGTCAGAACTACTTAACAACACACCGGCCCATCTAAGTACCCGACAAGAGAATGCTTCCTCTCGACCCTGACGTAGGAAGATAGATTTCGCTGAGACCCTGAGAAGATATGGGTTGGTCTGGCACAGGAAATGTCAATGAGACACAAACAACTCCTCAAAAGAGTACTTCAAACAGTACTCTATATTCTATATATAATACCTTTAAAAAATCAACTTCAATACACTGTAATATTGCATATTATTGTATTGAATATTACTGATATACTCCCCAAAAGCAACCTCTGCCTCAGTAGGTCAACACCCGACCCGGCTGCAAAACGCGCCCTGCGAGCTCCACACGCGCTCCGCGGAGAAACCCACCTCCGCCGTGTTGAAGGCGGAGAAGCCGCGGCGGCCCTCGAGGCCGCTCGAGGACGCCACGTCCACGAAGGCGACGCGACAGTCCTCGGAGTGTGACAGACCTGTGACCGTTCCCAAACCATCAGACCATCCATGGGAGTGGAATCATATACATGAACATCACATGTTCAAACTGCGGCCCTATGCTGGTAACTAACTATTCCATACATGAATGGTCGGGGTATGTATGTTTGTTGGGAATATGGATTCGGAGTCACTGATGTATACATTTAGTGTCTCTATAGGTCTGCAAGGTTCTGCTGCATAAGAGCCTACGATCTATAAAGGAGAAGCATGGTGGTTGTGGTCTATTGCTGGTCTTTCTCGCTCGAAACCACTTACAGCGACTTACAGTATCACTTAAATGTCTCTCTGTTTCCCTCTCCCTCTCTCTCTATATGTTTATGTCAAACTGTTATAAGGCTTCTTCATCCAAAATGTGAGAAGCGAACCCTATCAACACAAGCAACATCGTTGGATGTGACCACTCATATCATGAACCAACAAAACACCATTAGTGTCATGAGTCAAAGTACTCATTAGTCAGGGGCAAGGACCTGGCGAAACAAATCGATAGTTTTCTCAGAAATGTCGCAGTAAGAGCCAAGCTTGCCCCGATCTGGTTGTTATTCGGGCGCCACAAAGATCTCAAACATTGAAAGGGCCATGCCACCCCACTGGAGCACCAACCCAAAGGGTTTCGAGACGCAACAGCCATCACTCGAAACCAGGCAATCAGTCAGGATCAATCATTGGCTGGGAAAGCACGTGGAGAGCCTTGGGGGCATGGTACTGAACATGGATAGATGGATGGTCAAAATCTGTGCTTTACATCAGGAGATGGGAATCCAAACATAGATATAGTATATAGATGATTAGATGCTCAAAGCCCGTCTTCCTGTATCTGACCCAACTCCCTTAACCCAACTCCATGTGCACCAACGTGATCCCGCCGCGCCACGGGGTTGGGCCATGGGAAGCCGGGAACTGCCTCGAGGGCCACATCGTCCGCAGCGTTCACCAGCTGACCTGGCCGCCGCATGTTGGCGTGACTGGGCACCTTCCCAAAAGCTGACCGCTTGGGCAAGTGGTGGTGTGCATCCTTCTATGGTGGCAGCAATCACCTCTTTACAAGGGGAACGGCTTCAAGACTACGTAAAAATGGAAAAAAGTACACAGAAACCAAAACAAATGTCATGGCCCTTACGAGCAGCAGCTTTCTACCTATGCTCTACGTCTGCCCTGGTCCTAGCCCCAAGCGGCCGGCTTTCCAATGGTCAAAGAGGGCAAATACAGTGAGTTCAGAGTAGATCGCACTATCCTCAAGTTCGGTGGTTTTAGATGGACCCCTATCTAAAGGACATCTTGGGGTGCCAGTGCCATCTACTGTGAAACCACTGTGCATATATGTGTGTGTGTGGTTGATATAATTGCAAAAAGAGCCTCACAGCAGCACCTCAAGGGATCAACCCAAAGGATCGGGGCGCCCTTTGTGTTTTTCTGCTTCCCGATCCCTTTGTCTCTCCATCTCTCAGAAGATCTAAACACATTGGGGTCATTGCTCGTAGACCACCGTGGCATTGGTTTTCCGCCGTGGTTTCCACCTGCATAAAACATCTCGTTGGGGAAGTCGGCGATGGAGCTATGCATCCGCCGCTGCTCCAGAAGCAAACTGGGCTCCAGTCCGTTGGTCACAGCCTCGTGCGGTCCCGCCCAAGAAGGCGCGGACTGTCACGGTGTCTCCTCTCTTACTTTTCATGGAGGAGCGGAAGGCGCGTTTTGTTACTGGCCTGCCAGGAACTAAACCATCAACAAGGCAACACAAAGAAAGAGAGACATGCACTTGTCAAAGGATCCGGATGGACCATGTTGTGCTGGGCCTTCGGACATCTAAAGTGTCTAATCTTATTGGAAGTTGATCAAAAAGCATCAAAAAGCCATCAAGATTGATATCCAGGTGCTACTCCACTTCTAAACCAGCCTCCACTCAAAAAGGCCTGCCAATATCCACAACTTTCAACTCTCAAAGGGAAAACCACCCCCCAGTGCAACTGAACGTCCAACATGTCCAACACAGAGTAAAGAGTTTAAAGGACACTAGTGAAACGTCATGTCAACCAGCACCCACATTGTATGACTTGTTGCAGGGGAGTTTAGATCACCGAAGTAGATCTGATTGACATAACCGTTGCAGGTCCTTCCACCCCATTTGGATCGAAACTCTCACACTTCCACCCACTTCTTGTCAACCACCTGGTTCAATACTCAAGCAAGACCATCCATTTCCCCAACCTCTTCCAATCACTCTCGATGTCTCAATCAGTGATTTCAATTGTCACGTTCGATCCCTGGCTTATAGAAAGGTTGCAGATTTTTAGCGGTATATTTTTGTATATACAGTAAATATATATATATATATATTGTGTTATAGTTTCTAAGGCTTCAGTCTTCTGTAGTTTAAAGGCTTGCTAGCAAATTATACTTGCTGTTCGATTAGTTTTAGTTGTTTGTTTTGGTGTGGTAATTATGTTTTTTGGGGGGGCGAGGCTTTAGTCTTTTATAATTGTCATGTGTTTCTAGTTAATTCTAATTGAGGTTCAATTAGTTTTGATAAATTGTGTTAGTTTGTGTGTTTAAAACAAGTTAGTCTTGTGTACTTTTAATGTGTGTTTTTTAAATAATCTAATTGATATTCAATTAGTTTTAAGTAATTGTTAATTTAGCATGCCTTGTCCTTTTACGTGTCCTTGTAGTTGGTTGCTAAATGTCCCTATATATAATGTATCTGTTCAATGGTAATGTTCTTTAGATTTCCTTCGACATGTCCTTGTCAATTTCCTTTTAGGTGTCCTTTAGATGTTTTAATGTCCTTTTCATGTCCCTTCTATATAAATATGTCTTGCTTATTCATTCTAACTTGTTTGCTGTGAATTTGCCTTACAATGTTGCTTTCCATTGATTTTGACTTTCCCTGAAATGTTCTTTAAAGTTCCTTCTTAATTGAAATTTCCTTTCAAATTGTCATTCCAAATGTCTTGCATAATTTCTCTAATTTCTTGTAATTGTACTTCGAAATCTACTTTTAATTTGTCCTTCCTTCCTTCCTCCCGCCAGCTAATTAAGCAAACAACTATCTATATATATATATATATACATATGTGTTTTTATATATCAAACTAAAAACAAACCATATTCCACTAAGAATCACTAAAGTATACCCCCTTATAGAACAGATCGTAGATCCAAACTGATTAGACATGCACACGTTTGTTTGGTCTTCCGTTTGTGGTCTGAATCGCAAAGTCATATGGTCCTGCATACGTACTAAAAGTCTGAAGTGGGCAGTGATGACATCAAACAGGTCCTAATGAACGTAACGGGCCGAAGAAACAACTCTTCCACCATCAAGAAGCTAGCTCGAGACTGCCTTGAAGAGAGCTATGGTCACTAGGTAGGTCAAATGGAGTTGAACCACATATTCAGATTAGTCAAACTGGTCTCAACGTGTTTCAACATGTTTCAACCAGTTCTTCTAAATCCACCTTAATGTATACAAGAAAGATTTTGGGACTCGATGCCTCTATGCACCCTCCAATACATAAGACATAAAACACATGTCACATCAATCAAAAGCACCCCACTCCCAAACTCGTTGCCACGCCCAGGTGCCATTCGCTCGAAAAGGCTCAAGCCCAAGCCGTCAGAGGCTGCTGCCTTCGACAAGACCGTGGCCGGTAACTGCGCATGGTCCCCGATGAGCACCACCTATGGCCGGTGGTGAACTTGGCGCATTCCGGTCAACTTGCCGCGCAAAATAGTGGATGGGACGAAAAGACAGAGCTTCAGGGAGTCAGCAGAATATCTGATTGCCAGGAAAGTCAACTCACCAGGGTTTCGGAGCTCAGACGGTCTTGACCCATGCCCTTTTCGGCAACTTCTGACCATGAGGTCACCAAATCAACTCAACGAAGTCACCACATCAACTGAAAGCGAAAGCAAGACTTTCACGGTCATGCACTTCTTGGCCTCCTGGCTGAGAGTATGCCGGTGCCCTCACCTGCCCTCTGGCCGCCCCCCACCTGCTCACAGTGCCGACCCAAGGGCACCAGGACCGAGGGCTCACAAGCTTGAGTGCATTCATCCACCAGCACTCGTCGGAATTCACCTGCCATTTGCCATTCGTCGGAATGGCGCCGTGTCAGAGGCAGGGAGTGCCGCGGCTCAATGGGAATAGACTTGAGACTACGCCGTCACGCAACAACCCAATATCTGTCGACACTCCTGTGGTGCAACTACAGTGCTGGAAGGAAGCAGTTCAATTTCCCATACCCTTCATGTCATCACCACCCTCACCGTCCATTCGCTAAAGCATCCGAAAGCTCTACTATGCCCCCCCCCGGCTCAAAGAACAAAAGGTCTCTAGCCCAACGGGTTAGACGAGTCAATTTTTGTCCTTCTTCCATGGGGCCGAACTGGGTGTCCTGCTACTCAAAAAAATTAAGAATACGCAACAAAAAGCGTGGCCCTTTGAAGTTCTGGGGCTTTCATCCCAAAAAGGACCGGACGAGAACGAGTCGATCCAGCCTGCAGTCTTGGTCAAAACCTCCATGCCGCTGCCAATGCAGGTCGCCACCAAAATCTTTGCCTTCACTGCCGGGTGGGAAGGGGGAAGAAGCTCATGCAGCACAAAGTCACATACATAGGACGTCCAAATGCACCCAAACATACACCAGCACAGAGCAATTGTCAAAAAGAAGGTGGGTAGATGCGTAATGATCAGCATGCAGTCCAATGTTTGATTGCTTTCAATGTTGCTCGTCTTCAAACTTACCATAGTTCCATACAACACCACCAAGCGCCAAACATTTTCTCGCACACAGCGCTGACGGGGCCGGGTCACGCGCTGCACTTCTCGATACATGCTTTCTCCAGAAAGGCCCTCGACTTCCTTCCCCTGCCCCACTCGTGTGCAATCAATTCCTCAGGTGCGGCAAGGCAGGTGCTCAGGTGAGCCCGCCACCCCAAAAGAGATCAGTAAATACACTCCCTGGAACTACCGACCATGGAAGTGAGTGGCATGGCCCCTGGAAAGATCGTTTTCCTCTACACTTCCGGATGTTCGATGGGGGAGGGCATAAATCACAGGCTATAACAAGCAACATTTGCAACTAAGCCTCCCATCCTTTGCAAGCGCACCTGCAGCTGATCACAGAAGTGCAGAAGCGTGATGGCACAACGGTTGGCAAGACCATGCTACACCTCCTTCAGTGATCTCAAGAAAAGGAGGAGCTATCAGGATGCCCAATAAGCCCCCTCGCGAAACATTGGGCTACCCATTTTCGGTCACAACAGGCCACGAGGCCTGGAAACAACGATGAAAGGGTTTGGATCGGACTCCTTCGAGGCCGCGACCCCCAACGGTGGCCGTTCGCTGCCGGCGAGTCGCCGCAGTACGAGGCCCATGGGCACATGACCATCACAGGTGCGATGGTCAACGAGTTTTCTTCGAAGAAACGCGTGGCATTTGTATGGCAGTGGTAGTGTTCCCTTGGGAAAGGGACATATAACATATAAAAAGTAATATAACATGGGTATGTGGGAGCTCTTCCCCTTTTGCGCAACTTCACATATCGGTGTCTTGACCAACTCCCACGTGATCTGATCACGCCATGCAAGGGGACCATGTTGCTATCACCTAAGGTTGTAGGGCACAGAACCCGGTCACAGTACGCCCTGCATCCAGTGAGATGAACATTGGATAAAGCTGACATGGCATGGGTCAAGAAACACTAGATCCTCCAAATCACTACATCGACCCCCAATCCACAAAATCCCCCATACCTCTACCTCCTGCCCTCCTCGGTGACATGTTTCACACCTCTATCCACTCCTCACACATGCACCTGATCACATGGGGGATGAGATCTCCGAGATGCATAAATGTTATCCGCGGCCACATTGGAGTCTGCCACTGCAAGGATCTTCTCGCCCATGGGCGCATGGATGCTCGCCCAGGCCGCTAGAATGGCCTGAGTCGTCTCGCTCCAAAATAACGAAAGGGAAAACCGGACCAAGTAACCACGACCCTCAAGAGACAACAAATTCATCTATCTAGACCCTTATGGTGCCCAAGAGCCACAACAAACATGCTGGAGAGTGCTTCTAATTACAGGTCTGTATACAACCTGATATTTGACAACTCGGAATGGGATCCTCACTCTAAAATGTGAGGAGCTCCTGACTTGTGCACAGAGATGGTTGGGGTCGCAGCAGCGCTGTCTTGAAACCTGAACTGAAACCTACAGAATGAGAGGGGTGCGTCCTTGGCGTGCTCCTGATGTCAAGAATCGTGGCACGCCATACTGCGGCCATTCACATGCCAAAAATGCATAGGATATGAGAAAGTGGGTGGATTTATGGCACCAACTTCTAGGACAATGCTAGTTCCCCAAAGGACTCGCACACTCCTAATCCACCATTGTGACTTCTGGTTTGGTCCTGCCAGGTGACACATGCCACTTGCGTCTTCCCAGTGCCTGGTGGGCCTGGTGATCGTTTGAACGACGCATGGCATAAACGGAGTTAAGGGGAAATCATAGAAAAAAAATCCACTCAACGAGTGGGTGTATTTCCTGGAAATGTTCTGAGTGCAGTTGAGCTCTTCAAAGTCCAGTGCTCCTTTTTCTACCGGGCGAACTGGATCCACAGTGTTGTTTGGGGGTTTCGCATCCTGTGGCTTGCGACTCAAGACTCAAGACCACTCACAAATGTTCAGACCTTTCATGAGTTAAACAGGGACCAGATCACGCTTGTCCAACATCTTTTTCTTCAATTGTGTTGGACATAGGCTCTGGGTGCTACATGCCAGACCGATCGCGCAAGCCAGCACATGAACGCACCTTGGACTAAGCTCAAGCGTTGCTCCAACGCTTTCAGCACGGCTTCGTTTTGCGAGGGGGTGAGCGCGGCAATCAGCGAGTAATCCCTTGCCAGCCTCCTTACATGCCGCTGTGCGGGAGCAATGTGCAGCAAAGGTGTTCCACTTGATACAAGCAGGGACCAGGGACTTGGTTGCATCATCATCATCATCATCATCATCATCATCATCATTCACACCAAGGGGTCACAGGTTAGGGTGGCCCTAGACCCCACCCTATATGAGTGCGCTACGAATTGCCTTCAAGACTGGATACCCTTGAGCTTCAAGTTTCGCCAACGAAGTGTCCGAAGCGTTGCTGATGAGGAATGGAACTCTGCTTTGAGCGCAGCTTCTGGGAACAGGCACGGCACGCGCGGATTCTTCTCCCGGCACGTGTAACCACGAGGACATGAGGACAGCGACGGTCGCAGGTGTGTCTTCAGGGTGCAGTTTCGAGGAAGACATGGCAAAGTGCCAAGCTGGCAACACTGGATGATTGACCCCCCGGGCGATGCAACAAATATAATCTAGAATTTAGAATTATATAGAAATATAGAACAGTGGAGGTTTCTGACATGCATGTAGAGGCAAGCCATAGCAGCTTGCTGAACCAACAAGAAACAAAAACGATTCAGTGCACTTTGAAGACTAAAGGGGATGCACTGAGACTGTCATGATCGTTTGGTTGAAGCAACGATTGAATCCTCCATCTTCCCAGGATTGGAGTAAACTCAGGTCTGAAGCAGGTGGCCAAACATGGAAATCATGGCTATGACCGGGTTCTGGGCTATAAGCGGCTATCCACGAATTCGGTGGAATCCGTTGATCCCTCTTCGAAAGCCCCCGGGCGCTTCAAACATCCAAATGCGGTAAAGACACAACCTGCTGGGAGGTGTCTTAGGTGCTCCAAAGCCCCACCGGTAGCCTCGTTGCCTAGGCGGCCTCGATCTCCCCCATCTACAATACAACAACGGGTGATGGGTCTATCGTGACTTCTTGACCCTGGAGGAGGCCTGAAGAACCAACACAGGTTGAGAGACATCACCTGACCAGAGTTCAAGGCCAGCTCTCGGCTGTTCAACCTCTGTAGACATGCTGGTCCGAGCATCTCCAAGTTGTTCTCCGCGAGCTCTCGCGTGAGTCCACCCCTGGCAGCTGCAGTGGCCTTTTGCACAGCTTCCTCTGGGCCAGCCACCAGCAGCTTTTGAACATCATCCAAATACCTTACAAAATGAGTGCCAAGAGAAACAGGTCATGGCTTCGCATGTCACCAAACCCGGGTGCCACCCCCTAAACTTCCCGCACTTGGATCATGGGGCTCTACGGCAAGTGTCACTGATCTACCAACTATCATATGTATATTGTCCATCTCATGCTGACGCCATCACTCAAAAACACATATATACAAACACCCACATATTGCGCAAAAAAACAGTGCCACAAACTATACCTAGGAAAACAAGATAGATAGACAGCCAGACAGACAAATAGAAAGACAGATAGACAAATAGACAGATGATAGACCGACAGATAGACAAATAGACAGATGGATGGATGGATGGATGGGTAGATAAAAAGACATAAATAAAAATAGACATACAGATAGATACACAGATAGACAGACAAATAGACAGACAGATAGACAAACAGACAGACAGACAAACAGGCAGACAGACAGACAGACAAACAAGCAGACAAACGGACGGAAGGACGGACGGACGAACAACCGGATAGACAAACAAATAGACAAACAAACACACTAATGTATGCTGCAATAGAGATGGATAGGACAAAGAGCTTGAATCGCAAAGTAAGAACTATAACATCACTCCACCTCCAAAATAAAACGCCCTTCAGAAAGCTGCCCTTTCAGAAAGCCTTTCATCACTCCACATGATTCCACATTTACCGCGAAAGCTGCCCAAACACCGAGGCTGCATCACCCCTCTCCAAGGTGCTGATAGCTGGGCTTACTCTCGTAGTTCTCACTCCAAGCCGGCAACTTCACGCGAGTCAAACATCTCAAAGCTGTGAGCTGTCGATCCATGGGAGTTTCCATCGCCTCAGCGGGTCGCGCTCCAAACAGCAGCGAGTCGCGCAGCACTACGAGTGAGGCCGCAGCCGCCGACCGTGGCGAGCGCGGTTAACACGTGGACGCCAAGATGCTAAGAAGAAGAGCTTGAAATTCCGACCGACAGTGATCGGTGAGAGCCTGTGATCGTGGCTCGCAGGGTGGAAAACAATGAGGTGACCCATGAAGCATTTGGAGCGTCCTAGGTGACCCTCCCATCTATGCGCCTCTGGCCCCCCTCCTTGAGCTCCACGTCCGCAGCAAAGTCGGAGATCCGCCGCACATTCAGCCGCACCTGACGGGCGAGATGGTAGCAATCCAGCCACCATAACCCAAACACTCCATGTATGCCATATATGCCGATCAGTTGGGGTGGTGCCAGGGGGGTCATTGGGGCGGCATATATGGCAGTCCCATTAGTCGATATTAGTCGTGTCTGGGTATGTCTGGGTAAGGATGAAGGCTTGGGGTCTCTGTTGGTAGAGTCCACGAGCTACTCAGTTATATACTCCTCTAGAGTGGGACTACACTGGTGGGGAGAAGATCCCACTTACACCTCTGATCGTGACATCTATGGCCTGTCCATTGGACATCCGTGATTGCTGAACAGCCCTGTTAACTTCTGATTGTGCACCAGGGTGAAGCTGCAATACTATACCCTAGGGCCCTAGGGCTCCAAGTTCCTTCTGAGAAAGCATTAGGGGTGGGTTTGGAGGGTCCAAATACCTTGGATGTACTTGGAGCCCTAGGGATACTGATTGCTCCAGCCCCAAACAAGGCAGCTGCTCAAAAACCCAGGCGGGCGCTGAATGATCTTGATCAATTTGGCAAATCAAGACAACGACACATTTCAGTCGATCAACAAACGAGTTTGGGCCCAAAGTTGGCGTTGAGTGGTTGCTCAGCCCTTGAACCTGATGGTGTCAGACCAAACTGGCTTAGGAAATGTATACTCATCCGTGCTGGGCACTGGTTTTCCACACTTTTGGTCCTCTCAATCTGCTGGGACTGCCGCCGCATTTGAAGTCACCATGCCCGATCCAAACGATCCAACCCGGTACCTCCCCTTTGAAGCGGCTAGGTTCCCACCATGCCCGGATGTGGGCCTCCTCGCCCATGCGTGGGTTGCCAGTAATGGAGCTCACGCTCGCAAGCCAGGCTTCCGGATGTTGCCAGCCCGTACTGTTCCCCATCCTGAGGGTGTGGGGAGTCCATCACCGGTCCATCACCGCTCGCAAGAAGCACTGACGAATATACACAGGTATACACGGCATACATATAAATATATATATATATACAGTAGTATATATATATGTATATAATTACTTAATTTAGGCCGCGGCTGCAGTTACTTAAAGCGATAAAGCACTTTATAACTGTATATGGATACTTTTAGAATGTCTACATGTGCGAGGCATCTGGTGTTCTTGAAATGGTGGGGGCGGAGCTTCCGCCAGGGCCGCTCCTTGAGTCCACATCTCGCGACCCACCAATGGACCTTTGAAAGGTCTAAAAACATCCACCAATGGACTCTTGGCCAAACGAGCTGCATGGCTGAAGTATCCAACACCCCATTCATGGGAAAAGAACAGCTGCAGGTGACTATAGGTGTATATAGGTCATCTATGTTGAGCCACGACCACTTGCCTTGCCGAGTCTCTCCGGTTCCTCACCCCAAGTCTGTTGCTCGACCTCCTCCGCCGCCTCACTGGGCACCAGCAACACCAGGTCACTCGCGCGGAGCGGACGCGCGCCCTGGCGGGAGTGCATCGCGGTCCGCGACGGAAAGGCCCAGCAGAATAGACGACCTACTAGACATGGTCAACCCATCAGGGTGAGTGAAACGGGCAACCCAGGTGCCATGACCCACAAATGCCTACAGCCAAAAGGGCCTTAAGGGGGACCTTCCTGAGGATCTCTTCGGCTTGGACAAGGCCATGCCCTTCGAACAAGCCGTCCAGTCTCTTCCGCCAAAGGGCCTTTGTCAAGGGACTGAGTTGGATTCTTGGGCTTCAAGGGACTGGTTGACCGGATGGCTCTCCACACTCATTTCATGTCGTTGAGCCAGGAACATCTGGCTGCAACTCATCTGTTATGTCTTCAACTTTTAGAATTGATTAAGCTGAAGGGCCTGAAGGGAGTGGCCAAGTTAACAATCTGAATCTTCACCCCGAGTACAACCCAGGCTGTTTTTTCGGGAGGAGTGCCCCCTGGGCATCGCCAACGCAATCTTCTTAGGCGCAAAAACACATGTGAATTCCGCCCTGGGTTTTCCCTACAGGTTCCCAACCACAGAAAAGGAGAAAATCATGACATCATATGACCATCATATATGCAAAAAGGCCAATGATCACCACATGGCTTGCATCATTGTGCCTCGCACGTGTGAATCCAAACACATATATCCAAGCCACCCAATCCGCTTGCAGCTCTGATTTCACGATGCGTCTGCTTGTTCCCCCACTCTGTCCCACGCCCACCTCCACCAGCTCCAAGATGTTACCTCAGTCCGTGGGGATGGCTGCATGAGTCGGATCAAACCAGGTCAAACCATCCATCCCATGGGATCTGAAGGAGTCGACGAGGCAAGCATCTGCGAGAAAGTCGGCTCGCATGGGTCACTGGAGGCAAGCGAGGCAAGCGAAGATGTCCATGTCCATTTCCATTCGCTCGGGATGGGCATTTGAACAAACGTGGATGCTGAAGAATTGTGCACCCACAAAGTTACCACCACATGAGCCCGTGGCTTTTGCCCACGTGAAGAGCGTGGACAATGCCATCCTCCCATTTTTGGAACTGGAAGGCTTCGTCGTTGGGGAAGCTCCGTGGGTCCCAAACATGGAACTCTTCGTTCCCAAACACCGATCTCGACAGGGGCGCAGCATGGCGCAGCCACGAAGACGGCGTAAGCGAGAGGCCACCAGAAAGATCTCCCAATGTCAGGGGCGGCACTTCTAAGATCTTCACTCGTGACCTGCAGTTCTACTAGTTTCTGGTGTGCCTGTTCCACTACACTTCAGTGGACATGTCCTCCAAACATATCACACAAACCTCGCTCGCTAGTACTTGTTTGACTGAGCTTTCTGTGGGCCTTGACCGTGAAGAAACAACTCACTGCCTTTCGAGATGTGAAAGAGAAAGAGCGGCCTATGTGCAAAAGAATGTCCATGGCCCATTCATGGCCAGGAGGTTGTAAACCACTATATAGTAGGTTGTGAACCACCTGTTGTTCATGGCCCAAATACCATGGCCTCTTCATGGTCCCTTCATGTGTTTTGCTTCATGGCGCCGGCGACGGTTTCCATCCCAGTGGCTCTCAGGAGGCGAGGACAGGGCGATCCGATCCGCCTGCACCGCGGTGTGAAAAAGAATAAATGTCAATCACCCAAAGGGTCCCAAGTTGGGCGAGATGGTTTTTGTTTGGTCCTGCCAAGCCCTGTGTGCTGGTGGTCTGCCTGCAGCTGTGAAGCTACCTGCAGCTGACTTCGTGCTTTTTGTTTGGACATCTTCGGTGTCTTTTGGTGTGTCAAAAAATCGCAAAAGATCTACATGCACAGAACCGCCGGCGGTTGGATAATTTATCTTTTTTGGCTCAAGCCAAAGTGAAATAGATCATAGATCCTTCACGGATGAGGTTCAAGTGAATGCAGTAGAACAAACGATGAAGGCGCCGGGGGGGGGTCAGTTGAGTGGGTGCTCATAAGATCTCATAAGCACCTCCCGAGGAGCATCACAGTCGCTCCCCTGGTGGGTTCAGTGCCTACTGATCACAGCTCTGCGCCAAGACAACTTGCCGACCTGGTGTTCCGACCAGGCCGGTTCTGCGGTTTCTGACCGAGTTGATCCTCCAGTTGTTCCGTCCAGTGAAAGGGACGGCGGTGAGAAGCCTGGCTTGGGGCTGTATACAGCATCCAGTTCCACCGGGTTGGCACGGAAAAGAACCACTCTCAGAGTCCGATTGAAGTCTTTTTCAGTGACACCAAGCACCCAGAAAAGGCCAATGCAAACACTCTCCAAACCATATCATAGATTCTGATGATGTACTCGTGCTTGCCCTATCTTGCCCACAAAAGCCGAAACATATTAAGATGGGGGCGAAACATGGCAGACCAAACCAGCCGTATGACAGAAACCATCACCCAAATAGAAAAAAGGGATAGGAATCGGAATTTGGACCCTCGTCCCGACCAAACCAAGTTCTACACCGCACCGGCGCGTCTCCCGAGATCGACGCGGAAGCTGCGGTAGAGACCGCCTCGCAGAGGTGGACCTCCAGGGTGGGGACGCTGCAGGCAGCTTTGGGATCCAACTCGTAGGTTTGGATGCCCGACATGAGCCTTTCAGAAAGCGAAAGGTTTGAGCAGCCGAAATCAGAGGGTGCACTGAACACCCAAACAAGCGATGATCCGATGGATGGAGGTCGATGGCGAAACGAAAACAAAGGTGGTCAGGCCACCGGGGTCCCGCCCCGGTCGACCGGGATTCCGGGCGTCGCATCAGCCGTGGATTGGAGTCAGCTCCCCGTCCTCCAGCCACACCATCAAATGATATTTGGAAACCAATTCTGAACATAGATCTGATACAAAATATATGATACATTCTGATCCCTACAGGGTAAATATGACCGATGACCTGCCTGGAGTTGGTCATACAGTCATACAAAAACACTACTTAAGGAGATTCAAAGGGGACAAGAATAGACAACAAAAATAAACACAAGGTTATACTGGATCTTCGGACTTGTAGGGTATCCGTCGTCTCTGAGATTGATTGACCATCGACATTGACACCTCGGACTGACCCTTGCAGCTGGGAGTTGGAGTCGCTGGTGTCCGCTTCAGAAGAGACTGGCTTTGGCAACCTGACGAGAGCTCAATTCCAAGTCCTCTCAGAAGCAGGACATTTTGGGCTGCACCCTCTAACATCCTTTAAACGAAGGAATTGATGTCAAGACCCTTCTTGAGGGGATTTGGCTGTTCGGGTCAACTTAAAGCTGGTCCATCTACAGTTATCCAAAAGTAACATGTCACCCGCTCAACAACTTGTCAGAGGTGGGCTGCCTATCTGCCTGCAGTCGGTCCGCCCTCTGCAATCCAAGTTGCCCTCCGTGTCGCTCCAATGCCAAGAGATTCCGGAAGCGCTGGAAGTACTCCTGGGGTCGATCTATATAATTAACATCCTGGAGTTGCGTTTGCCTGCTTTTTTTCAGCCACTTTGCGAATATGCCGTAATGACCAGGGAATATGGTCAAAGTTCAGCTTCATCCGTAATGACCAGGAAACTGTCAGTCAAATGACTGAAATCGCTGGTTGTTTTGGTCATATGTGACCCAAATATGGATACTACCCGAACAACGCCCCAAAAAACACAAAATAACCCAATAAACGCCCAAAATATATTTTGGCTTTTTCCCGGAAATGACCACAAAAATAGACATAACAGCAAACCGTAATGACCAAAAAAAAGGCCACGACCGTACGACCAGGAAAATTCAGCTATTTGCAGTTTCAGGATGTTTTAACCATCACTCAACCGTCTCATCTCCCACTCCAAGTGGTCAAATTGGGGTGCTTCAGTGCTTCAAGGTGCTTCAAACCTGGACCAGCAAAATGCACCCAGAACATGGAGTTTCCAAGTGCTTCGTATGTTTGGGGATTGCGCATTGCTGGGGCCAAAGTGGGCCCTTCTCAAGTTTCTCCATCAACAGGTGTGAAGCGACGTGAGATTATACGCTCTGCTCGGAGAAGCGCAAAGAAACACGGCGCAGAGTTCTTTGGCGCGAGCAGATGCCACACGACGTCATGGACACTTTGATTACAAAGAACTCCACTCCCAGAAATTGCCTTTTTGAAAGGGCCAAAAAAGATTCCACTAGAATGAACAACAGTGATCACTCCTCCCTCCCGCAAGCAAGCAGATCTGGATGGGGCTAAATGGGCTGAAGGCCCTGGATTCGTTTGATTTCTATTGGACCTGTTCTAGTATATAAGTTGGCTTCAAACGGTTCCCAGTTCTACCTCGATCAAATTGCATTTAGCAAGGCAAATATCAATGCTTGGCTCACGTGTCTGACCGTGTCTGATGTCACCCTCGCAAACAAGTCTGGTGGTCATTGAGATGTATCATCCCGGTATATCCCGGTTCTCATCCCCTTTCAACAATTGATAGAGCGTAGGACCCCGGAAGCCGTGGCCAAGTCCCCGGATGCCGTGGCTGTGCCCAGGTTTGACCGGTCCTTCTCCTGAGGTCCAGGAAAGGCATCATTGAGAGAAAAACCTCAAAACGTCACAAGACGTGGCAGAAACGTCACCAGACAGCAGAAGTGTCGGAATCATCAATCCAAGCGCAAGACGGTGCAGGAAATGGTCGTTGGTTGGATGATGTTGGTGATGTTGGGTGTATCCCCCAAAAAGCAAGGTCTAGAGTGGATGATGATGGCTAGTACAGGCCGAAATCCAAAAAATAGTAATACTCTTTACCCACTGCTACTGTGGGACACGCCCTAGTCGTTGGATTCGCCGCTGTTCCACATATCCCGTACGAATCAGGGAACCAAAACGCCCGCAATTCGTTGGGCAGCGAAGGTCCCAGCCATTCAACCTTGCACGAGATTAAAAAAAAAAAAAAACAAGGGGGACGAGTGGACGGGCAAAACTCCAAGCGAAAGGAACATTGAAAATTCATCAGACCAACTGTGAATTCTTGGTATGCTGCAAAGGCTTGGTTTTGCTTCAGCCATCTTGAAACCCTACTGTCAGACGCAGCCACAGCCACCGCCACAGCAGCAGCAAAGCTACCCTCCCTGTCAAAAAAAGTATTAAATGTCGACCAATCAATCACAGCCCGGTAGAACATCACATTCCTGAACACTTGCCCAGTATGCCATAGTAAGCCACCCGGCCCCCTGCAGGAACTTAATTTTGCTTCACCTTCTGATTCTTGAGTTTCCTGGGTACTTTGAAACACTTCGCACACCGAGTCTGGAATCCCGTGCGTTGCCTGCTTCGTATCTCTCAAACTCACCACGTGCGGCCAAAAAGTTTGATAGTCATTCCAGTCACCCAGGGATAGTCGAAACCAAAGCACTCATGCATGAATTGAACCTGAAAACTCACAAACAACTGTTGCTCCCAAGGAGCCCGCTATCTGTCGCAAGGCTGGCAGCGCCATGAAGTAGTGTCGCACAGCGAAGCTGGCCTCATGTTGAGATCGGGGAGGACTCGGCTCGTTGCTGGAGGCAAAACTCCAGAAAAACAACATGTGATCATTTTCTGGCTGCAAACAAGAGCCAAGTATAGAAAAGTTTCAAAAAACACATCTTCAGCATGTTTGAAGTGATTCTCCCTGGCTCCGTCAGTTCCCTATGACTCTTCGGGCACAAGGACTCGCACCTCATCGAGCAAGGACTCCCAAAGATCTACTGGAAAACCTCCCTCGCTGCTGTGGCTCTGCGCGGTGTCCAAGAGCTCATGCATCAACGCCTCAGTAAGGATGAAAGCACGGGAGCGCTTTCAGTGAAGGCAATGTGGAGTGTTTCAAAGCTTGGCTTGCCTATATTGGTGGAATTTGCGTAGAGAGAAGCACTTCTTAGTGTATCAATCATGCTCTAGCAGCCGTCCACATGTAGAATCGGAGTCTCCATTCAACGGGGCACCGTGTCGAGAGAGACCCATGTGCGCCATGTGCACGGCCTTCCGATTGGATGTTCCACACTTCGCCAGGCCAGGTGACATGAACTCTCTTTTCAATGTCTTGCAGGATTCCCCATCGCTAGGAAGTAAGTGTTTGGATTCTTTCGTTTGGCTGGTCGGCCCAATCCACATGAATCCAGAAGCTCGTCAGGCAACAAAGAGTTCTTCATTCTTCATCAAAGGCTCTGTTTGTTTTGTTCATAATATTATAGTTTTATATCTATTTATTAACATTCGCCATCAGATTGGTATAACCCAGAAGTGGAGATTCACCCACCTCTAGTCTTTGCGGACAAAAACCCACGGTCTTCCAACATGTTCCGTATACGTTCTCCCCGAGCGTTGAATCGCTGCCATCGTTCGGTCTCACGTTCTCCCACTCTCCCAGCGGAGTAAAAACACTCCAAGAAGCCCGATCGCCTGGCGATGCTTCACCGACAAAGCTCTTAAAGGGTCTTGTTTCAAGAAAAAGCTCCAGGTTCTCTCTCTCTCTCTCTCTCTTGAGCTGACCAAAATTTCTATCAGGAAAACGACTTTTTTGGTGGAGTACCTCAAAGAGTGCTGTGAACTGTTGTCAGGGCCCCTTGGCCTATTTGACATGTGTCGGAAAGTCTGTGAGTCACTGTGTGGCCACGTCACGTGCTTGCATATGCTTGCAACTCTTGACTGACCATGGAACAAGCTCACAACCATTCACAATTGACTGTCCCTGTGCCGGGCTTGGGCTTCATGACTTTCGAACAGCACCAGCGATCATTTTTTCGAGATACCGTTGCTTAGATTGACATCCCCAAGCTGGCGCCCCAAACCCCCGTAGTGTATCATCGATTCTAATTGGGTATTTCACTTAGACCCTTCAAACGGAATGCGCTGCAGAAAATGCAAAGATCTCCCTGTTTAGCGAGTTTAACGAGTTTCTCGGGCAAAAATCCTGTTTGAACATGATCAGTGACACAGTGACACCATGTGGGATCAATCACAGCCCCATGGACTCCTAAGAGGGCATAAAAACATGTTGTCCAATAATTTGAAGGATTTCAATCTTTGAGTAAGGCATGGTAAGGCATTTCGACTTGCCGATTAATAACACCCGCGGCTCCATATTCCAAGTATATGACGCAAATCCAGCCGCTCGCGCCGCGGAACGCGGCCAGGGCTTTCTCTCGCCTTCTCCCAGCACGGCGCGCAGCACAGAGGGCAAGAAGAGGCTCCAGGTGCTCCTGATTTTCAAGCGGAGTCGGCTTCGCAGCACTGATCACGGATGATCAACCCACTCACCTTCCTTCGAACAAGTGCTCGAGGTGAGTACAAATGGTGCCCCCACCCGCACTCCACGCACTCCGGCTTGCGCCTCCAACGGTCGGTCAAGTGCCTCCAACGGTCGGTCAAGTGCCTCCAACGGTCGGTCAAGTGCCTCCAACGGTCGGTCACGCATTCCGAAGATGTTTATCCCCAGAAGTGGGTGGCTCCCTCCGGCCAACCACCAGCGATTTCGCATCTCTGCTAGGCCGCAGAGTCTGGGTTTGAGAAGGGGCCTTAACCCAAATTTGGCCTTCCTCCAGCCAGTTTCTATGCATCTTCTGGACCAAACATGGTGGATGCAGAGCTTAGTCTTACCTTGCCTTCATGCCATCGATCAAATCCTTGATGTTGTGTGGTTTGAGGGGATGCATCACCAGCAGGAAGATAACTCCACAGGGCGTCGGCTCAAAACCACCAATGTAGTGCACCCTTCAAGGCCCGCCAGGAAACGGCCAAGGTCCAGCCCGATGGGATGACGTCTATGTCTATGTGGTGCAGTCTTGCGAAATCGCACGTCTCCCACCGGTTCTTGCATCAGCCCAGGGCTCATGTCAGCCGTCTGCATCAACGCCATGGACTTCTGGCAGGCGTCCTTTCAAACGCTCGTCCAGTGCTCGACGCTTGAGAAGGCTGAAGACTGGGCAGGGTCACGGTCTTTCTTTGGAAGTGGCGGAGGAAAAAGGCATGCTGACCGATGGGCGGTCAGAAATAGATACCGTCCATACAATTTGATTCCATACCCTGCAAGCATGATCAAGCATGGAAGTGAACGTCCCCCCTGGCAAGACCATTTCAGATTTCAATCCTCTCAGCCTCTCAGGGACCCACAAAATTCAAGAAAAACAACAATCAACAACATGTACTTCTGTTAATAACAAAAACCAAACAAAAACAATAACATTCAAGAAAAACACAGGTTTTCTTGCAGGGTATTTCTTCTGTTCTTGTTTTCTTGATCGCTCCTGAATGCGCATCTCCTGCAAGGCTCGTTGGATCTCCTGACGCCGATCCCCGATCCGCCGGAAGAGGCGGAGCAACGGCTCGGGTCAGCCGGTGATGCTTGGCAGTATAGGCTCTTGACTCTTGATATATCCAACTCCCCCATGTGGATTCAAACGCCATAGATTGGGGTTTATAGGAAACACAGAGTCTACAATGTATGTCGAGAGTCTATACATGACAATTGTCTACAGAACTCCTTCGGTGAATATTCTTTTAATGTTCCAAGCAAAAGGGGAACATATGCGGGATGAGGGAATTTCGGCGGCACCGCAGAACTGCTGACTGCTGTCACTCATCTTATCTCAAATGAGAAGAAATTGGTCTTGTTGCACCCTCCTGCTTTAGATCGAATTGCAATGGAAAGAATACAGTTGCCAGGCTCAAAGAATCAATATTGAACTCTTTCCTGCCCACTCCCGCTGGAAGGACCAAACTAGCCGCCAGAAAAAAAGGCCCCTGCAACTCCCAGAAAAGTCCCCTTGGGGATCGATGTATTGATTTGTTGTCGTTTTGTTTTCGGTAAGCCATCGTCCAATCTCTGCGTGGCGGAGATGGGAAGCGTCGCAGCGCAAAGCTTAAGGCACAATTGATGAAAAGAACACCGGTTTTGCAACGCACACTGCACACCCAAGTTGTTGGATGGGGCTTGGCCATCGCTGTTTCAGGCATGACGGCCTTGTTGAATCCGAGCTCTCCTGCATCTCCTCTGTCTCTGCCTCGCTGGCTTTGGGCATTTGGTTCTGCTGCAAGAGCATCTGCTCATGGGCCATCGCCTTGACTCGACAAGGTGAGGAGAATCAAGTTATCGTGGAACGTTTTCTTTCCGAGTTTCGTTCATGTTCAACCTTGACTTCGTGCACGGTGCACCGCAATCCCTCTTGACCACAAAGAAGACTCACATCGGCGCGCACTTGTCGCACGAATTCTCCACGGCACCTTCGCTCTTGGCTTGGTGGGAGCAACTGCAGTGACCTCCTCTGTTTGAAGGCCATTATCGCTGTCATAGAAGCGCCAGGTGAGCTTACACTCCTCAGCTTACACATCCGGGAATCAAGCCTACAATGCACAGAAGCATCATCACCCGAAGACTGGAAACACCTGTGAACCCCCATGGTGCCATAATACATCTCATGTGGTGCAGGACTACTCGTCTCCATGATATTTTCCCTGGCCAAAAACACGTCATCTTAGTTCCACGCAAAATGCACACCTCGGGAGACACTGCTTGCCAAGGAGTGCTTCTCAAGTTCTGCTTGTTTCAACTCCTTCTGCGTCCTTCTGCCGCGTGCTCCGTCAAGGATTTCCGCCCAACAATGGAGAAGGATGGGTTAACGTCCGATGTCCAAAACAGAAAAACACGGACTGTTGCTGAGAATGTGACGGTCGCCTCACGTATTCCCGACCCGGTTCCACGACTTCCAAGCAGCAATCCCTGTGGGTGTGGTCTTGTAGTCACGGCTCGCCTCGTTGGTGAACTTCAATGTCGAATGCCAATTAGTAAAGTGGGAGGGAATTAAAAAAGGTCAAACGATTCCCACACCAGAATAGTAGTGGGGTAGTACAAAGTTTATCACTCGGGAATGTATTTTTTAAAAATATATAATGTTAATCAATTGTGTTTTCTTTTGTTCAGCTATTGCTGTCCTTGCAAATCCTTGCCTTGCTTGACGTCTGAGGTTCTGCTTGGTTCGTAAACTATGACCATAAAACCGTATCGAAAATCAATTTAAAGCTCATCCAAATCCTTGCTCCAAACACTTTTTCAAGGGGCAGTGCACAAGGGGATGTGAAATTTGCGAATTGTTTAGGGGGTGGGGTTAATGCGCCAACTTGGAGCCCTAGGAAAAAATATCCGGGGCATTCATGGGGGGTGGAGCTCTCAAAATATAACTCTAAGTCTAAGTCTATAGTTTTCTATTGTTTTGTTGCAACTGTTGCTACTACTACGACGACAGCGACGATGACTACAACTGCTACTACGACTTCAATTACCACTACCACTAGCTACTACACTACTACTGCTGCTACTGCTACATACCACTACCACTACCCTGCCACTGCCACTACCACTGCTGCTACTGCTGCTACTTCTACTATTAGTACGTACTCCTAAATAAATTTGGTGGGGTTGAGTCTATTCAGTCTCCCCGGATTGGTTGCTAGGGCTAGGGGGTACCAGTTATACGGTATTTACATATATATATAATATATGTATATATGCTATTTAGGATCGATCATGTTCATGCATTTTCCATGAAAACAAGGCTCACCAAGTCCTGTGCAGGGATAGACTATCCTTCTGACTACTTAGTTGGGAAAGTGGTTTGGACTGTATACGTCAGCAGGGAACCTGCCCTTGTCCAATGCTTTGGCTACCACACTCCTGTAAAGATATTAAAGCACCAATGATTGTGTTTCATTTGCCTTGCCTGAGTTTAAACTAAAACCCTCAAGTACGCATGGATTGGAGACTTCCCAGATATTGCAAGTGGTTCTTCAACCAATCAACCAATGTTGACCTTGTGTCAAGCAAAACTTAGGGTCTTCCAGTAGATGGAATTGCATCCAAATGACTCAAAGAAAACACTTTGACTTTAAGAAACAAAGGCCTTTTGGCACTCCTTGAGGTGAAACGGTCGAGTCATGTGGTTCTTGTCCAATGGCGCCCATGACTTGACCCCACCAACCGCTGGTGGTCCTCAAAAGAGCCCGGAAAGCGAAGAGCAACTGCTGCTGCAAAAGGAGGCCCAACACAAGGTGGACTTCCCTCACTTCTCTAGCTCAACTTGCTATAGGGGCATGCCAAAAAAAACGCTCAGAAATCGGAGCTCAACGCTCGAAGAGCTTCCGCCCAAACTCCATGCCTGGATCCGAAGCTTTTGGATCACATTGTTGTGCATCGCGTTGATTTCTCCCATCCGAAGCCGTTCTTGGCTGGCCTCCGCCAAGGTCAAGGGCGTTTTTGGTCCGACCGCCGGCGTAGACCCACACCCAGAACGAAAAAATCTGGAGTCTCAAAGATCAACAACTGGGCGCCAGCTTTCATCGCCCTCCTATTTAATGGTCCTCAACACCTCCTCCCCACCGAAACCACCGGTGGGAGCCTTGCTGCTTCTCGCCCGGGACCGCTTCGCGCTTGGCTCCGTGGCCGTCCCTGGCTCGCTGGGCTCGGCGGGCTCTGCGGGGGGCTCGGTGCTGGGTCTTTGCACCAACTCCTGGCGAGAAGTGACGCAGCGGGCAGGTGGGAGCGAGGGAGCAGGTGGAGAGCAGGCCACCAAAATGCGGTCCGACCGAGAAGGGTGAGCGAGGATGTGGCATCGATCCCTGTGCGAAGACCATTTTGCAGGTCAAATGATGTCACATGAGACATGTAGAAGGCAAAGGCCGTTCTTGGCGACCACCGCAAAGGGAAGTCCACCAAAAGAGACCATCGAAGAGATTTCAGCACGTGACTTGGACATGCCTATCCAGTCATCCTATGTCATCCTCTCCAGTCTTGGTCTAAGGTTTGAAATGGTTTGAACCATTATTTACCACTCTTTGGATATCTTTGGACTCACCCAGCTCCAGCACGCATTACCTACAGCTATTCTCTGGAAGCCCGTGCTCCCAAACAAACACTGACATGACATGGTACATGAATCAGTGCCTGACCAACAACCCGACTAAGTGTTCTCAAGTTCTCAAGCGCAACAGCCGGCCAAATTTCTTGCACGTCAACTTGTGGGGATCCCACAACACCACCTCATCCAGCAATCTCTCGCACCAGAACAGCGGGAACCAAAGAAAAACACACACACACACACACATCCAGCATCCTTGGGCAACACAAAACTGAAAGCACCAAGCCACTCCGAGGACGCACCGACCGAAAAAAGGACGCGGTTGGGTCCTCCAAGGAGGCTGGAAGCTTCTCATAAAGTGCTATGAAAGCTCTTCGCCTGGGGCACGAGGCAGCCCCCATGGTTCCAATGTTGCAGCCAGTCCGGTGAGGTCCACCGAAGAGCTTCAAATGGGTTCTTTGGAACGGTGGTTGGGTCCATGTGGGGCCACACCGCTTGGTTCCCTTGTTGCGTCGTTGTTCTTTATGCCTATAGAAAAATCCAAGCCAAATGGAACAGCGCAGAAACCACCATGCACTCCCCTTCGGTGACCCATCCAACCATATAGATTATATCCAACCTCCTGAAGCTTTGCCAAGCTTCCAAGCTTGCGAGGGTGGGCACTCGTCAAGACCAGTTGGGTGCGCATTTAATGTGGAGACCCCCCTGGCCCTGTCTGGGTAGACTGGTCTATTTCCCTTCTTCCATGGGGTCGAACTGGGAGGTCCCCCTAATTGAATGCACACACATGTACAGTACTGAACCAAACCCATGCTGGTGTACCAATCCTGCACGAGATTTGCTCGATTTGCTTTCACCACTCCCATCTCTGGCAGGGCATCGTCAGGTCCAATTAAACCTTCTGACACCTTGATCGTTGTGGAGGGTGTGAGGTCACATCATAATCTTGGTGAGTAAACGCAGCAGGCTGTAAGACACAACTCGCTCAGCAAAAAAAAAGGAAAGACAGTAAAGCCCCCAATGAACATGGTTTCAGAACCTACTTCAATCCATGCAAAGGAACCCTGCATTGCATATCAGCATATATCAGCAAATCACCACAACCGCCTATATGACTGAATTTATGAGCGATCACCAGGTTCAGAACCTACAACCTGCCCAAAAAAATGATAAAAAAAGAGAAAAACCTGGGAATCATTCTGGTACATTAAATTGGCCGACAGATTTGAAGGCTGATAAGTTAGCCGAAGGCAAATATGCATTCATGTGTTGTAGTGCTACTAGTGGGGTCTTTGGTAATCTTGGTCGCCAGGCGCCCTCCCTCCCTTAAGGCTCCAGCTTTTTCGATCCACTGCTTTGTTCACGCAAGAACATCCATCCAAATCTATTGGCCAGCCTTAAACGCCACAGTTCACGACTCCCAAACCTGATGCAGCTTTATCAAGTACCGCTGCAAGGTTCTCATGCACAAATTGCGTGGAGGGGCCCTTCGACTAATCCTTGCAATCCTTCCAATAAAGTCTTCCCCAGATTCACAGAGAAAGGAAGCAGGACTGAGCACCCTTTGAATGCATCTATTTTGGAGCAGGTTCCTCAAGCGCACACCCAGATGCATGTACTGGTGTAGGCTGGGCTCGACATGAAACCTGCATAGGCCATCATTCAGCATGGTAGTGGCCAAGAATGCATATGCTGAGCAAAACAATTCGACTGATTCCACCAATTTGTAGCCATCATCACGCGTCTCCCAAAGATTGGGTTGGTGGATGATTCTGAAAAAGAGTAGCCCTGCTCTAGTAGCGTCGTGCATAGCCTCAAAGACTGGAACATGCGAGGCATCCAAAGCACTTTGTGTCAAGGAAATGTTTGGTCTTGCAGGTTGCCCTTCCACCTTCACTCCGTGACGCAAAACTCTCAGTAGCCACCTGAGGAGAAGAAGGGTGTCAGATCCCTTCCAACCCCCCCAAGGGAATGAAGCATTTCGTGGAAAATGGAACAACTCCTTTGTAAAGCCCTTCATGTGCGGGGAGCCATGGGCAATCTCGTTTTTACAAGCCCATCTGAAATCTGTATGTGCGTTGGAGAGCAGATCAACTATGTTCTGTGTAGACCCAGGGAAGTAACCCCACTGACAAAGAACAACGATGCAGCTTGCACAAAAATGGCGGCCAATCCCGTACTTGAAAATGTGAAAGGGGTCGCTCTTGTAGAAGTTGGCCGCTCGGCTTTGGTCACAAGGCACCATCCGAAATGGTGAAACATTATCATTGCTCCACGGCTCTGTGCGCCACATGGTCGATACCCACGCAGCTTCAGGAGAAACATCCTCCCAGGGCACATTGGCCTGTCCTGCATCACAATATGGGCACATGCCCTTGTTGACACCCAAATTTTGGAACGAACGCTGCAGGTGACCTGCTTTGATCAGCGCAGGGAAGTCCCCTTTGTGGCCTAAGCAAATACCATAGAACTGTTGAACTCCGTTGCCTGACTTCAAATGAACTGCAACACCATCATGGAAAAGCTTGCAGCAATCAGAAGCAATCTCACTCACCATATCACACCACAAACCTTTGCCAACTTTTCCTTTGTACATTTGGTGTGGCATGACACAGCAGAGAAAGCGGCTGTTGAAGGAATGCCCTCTTGATGGTTGGACTTGGGAATCCAAATAATAGAGATCTCCCGTGGAAGTGACCCTTTCGTAATCCTTGGCATTTGGGATGCCGAACACGCTTTCCATGGCAAACACTTGCACTGGTGACTTCCGGTATCCACGCCCCTCGTCAGAGTACAAGTAAAAGGGCACACAGCGGTGCAAATGCCCACCATGTACTCTATAAACATCATGGTTTGGGTCCTCCAGTTTGTAGGCGCCCCAGAAGCTCGACAGGTGACTTTGAACCACTGCCGATTCAGGTGTGTCACATCCAGCGCACAGAACTTCACTCTTGTTGTTCAAGATGTAGTCAAACCAAGTGGTACACCGAATCATTGGGACAGTCACTAGCCCACGTTTGATTTGGGAAATGTGTACCGGCACAGTGAGCTTCCAGTCATAGATAAGTTGATGTAATCTCGCTTCAGCATGACCCAAGTCAAGCTCCCCCAAGAACTTGATGCCACGTAGACTACCTGGGCTCTCGTCCTCCATGGTCCGAGCCAGCGAGATGATCTTCTTGGCAGGGTCCTTGGCCGGGGGAGAAAAGGGCGAGAGAGGATCAAACCCAAAGAACACCAATGCCTCACGCACAGCTGGGTCATGTGTTTTTTCCATTGCAACACTCTTAGGGCAGAACTCCATCGGCTAACGCAACCACCATCTTTTTCGCTGTGGGGCCAGGACCTGTGCATGGGGTACTGGACATAAATTGTTTGGCGGGTGCATTGAGAAAACAGCACTCCATAATGCAGTTTCCTCAATGCACCCAATGTCAGTAGTAGCATACGCCATGCACAGCAATTTCTTTTGTCCCCATCGTCGGTCCCTCGGTATCAAAGTTGGCAGCACAGGATTTCCCGTACTGTCTCGAATCAAAACCTGTGCTCAACTGAAGCCTCGGCCCACCTGACCCATGATGGATAGTACAAACTGTTCCTAGAGTTCGGGTCTATAAAGCTTAAACAGCACCGATCAGGACTATGGGCCAAGTCGTTCACATGGAGCTCGAAAGAAATCAGTCGGTCTTCTTGCCCCTCACCCGTTTCTTGGGTGCTGCTGAGGTTGGCTCTGCAGGTGGTGGATCCGCTTCAGCCTTGGCCTTTGCCTTCGCCGCAGCTGTCGAGGCAGTGCGAGCCGAACCCCTTGTCGAAGCCGCCTTGGGTTGAGGAATTTTCAATGCCTTGGCACGCGCCTCAAGCTGCAAAGCTTCCATAGACCTTGGGCCCGGTTGGTTGGCTACGGGAAACATCTAGGATTGGGACTGGTCTTTCGCCGTTCATCACCACCACCTGAATATTGCGATGAACCATTTTTGACTAAATGAAGAATTTATACAACAGTTGCCATTCAAAGCTTCCAGGCACCACAGCTTGGCAGTCTTGTAGTGTTGTACAAGGGACTGCTGATGCCTAAGCTTGACCAATAACTTTCAATAGCTATCACACCATTTCAGAAATACTATAGTATCCCTTTCCCGGTGAAAATAGTAATGCAAAGCCTTGCGTATAGCAAATGAAAGGGGCTTCTCACTGAAACCCTCCACAGCACCCTCACTGTAAAGTGTGTTGAGAGCACCGTGACAGGTATCCAGGTTGCTGAGAATACCCTCAAGCTTGGTCAAGATCCTGAGTATGACACAGGGTATGGGTGGACTGGCGGGCTTGAACATGAACCTGTTTGACAATTCAAAAAAATAAGCTAAGAACTTGTTCATGTTGTCCAATCGTTCCGAAGGAGGAATGTTCTCGATCTTGCTCTTCACATCTGAAAGTTTGGAGATTCGCGTGTTGGTTCCATCAATGTAGTTGGAAATTACATCGCTGGCCACCTTTACGCCTTCCAAACTCGGAAGGCCCAGACCATCTCCCACGGCCTTCCTCGATGGATCTTGCGGCGCTTGGCCTCAGCCAGTGAAAATTCTTGGGGGTTGGACCAGGGCATTGAGGATACAAAATGACATGAGGGTAATTGACCATCGACCTATACCATTAACCCAATCCCCCAAGATGAAATTGGGAATGCCATTAAGGTGGGTTGCCTGAAGCGTCAATGCCCTGAAAGTCAGTGAAGTCCATGGCAATGTTGTGCCCCATGGTGACACCCCCCTGGTCGTCTACAGCGACATCCATTGTGGCAGTAGTGGTGTCACTCATCTCCAACTTCCGGGATTGCTCCATTGAAGCAGATGTTTTGCCTTCGACCCAATACTTGATCTTTGAGGAGTTGTATGTGTCCGACCTGCAAAGTGAAGAAAACTGATCAACAATAATTTAGTTGGCTATTGCTGGTTGAACCTTGCAACCCTTTATGTAAAAAATGCAAATGGGCCCCTGTTTGTAGCCAGCCTTTTGAAAGATGGATTCGCATCCCCGAAGGCCTTGATCTCCTTGATTCTCTCCCTGGGCTGGGGCCACACTGAGCCGATCATGAGAGCACACTGCTTTGTCCGGTCCATGACAACGAAAGGTTGAATATCCCTCGCAGTAAGTGGTTTGACCAAAAAGTTATTTTACAATCCATGTGACGGGTCAAGCTTAAGCTGGTCTTTCATTTCCAGTTCTGTGTAGAAATCACCAGTGACCATGACCTTCACCTCCTTTGAGTGACTGTTGCGGACAGTCACTTCACGTAGGAAAGCTTCCTGCAAGCGCTAAAGATTGATCCACCACGGTTCCCAGTGCTAGTGAATAGTGCTCAATTCCAAAAACAAACATTTTGGTAACCCTGACCTTCTCCATCCCTGTTTCCATCCAGACCTTAAGAAGCTTCTCTCGATTGGTACCACCAGATTGGAACTGTTGGTGAATGTCTTCACTCACCAGTAGCGATCCATCAGCCTTTCTCTCACAAAGCCGACGGAGACGTGCCCTGGCAGCTTCCTTGGTAATAGATATCTCGGCAGGGACCTCTGGCGCAGCCTTGTTCTCGAGCTGCACTTGCAAGCTTGCAAGCTCAAACTTACTAGCAGCCAAGTCTGCTGCTAATGATGCCTTTTCATCGGTCACTACCTGCACAACCCTTTGCAACTGTGCAACTTGGGTGGACAAAAAGGCAACTTTCTTAGACAAATCCGCATGCTCCCCATCACCACCAGTGTCGCCTCGGCCATAATCGGGCGTCGCCTGACCAAGGTTCATCGCTGCGAGGGTGCCCAATACCTCGAGCAGGTGGGGCAAAACATGAGCATGGGTTGGAGCAAATGCGGGAGTGCATGACAGTGCAGGATAATCACCCCAAAACAGAAGTTAATGAATGCTTAAGAAACAGCAGAGACATCTGCATCTTCAGGAGCTTCCGCTTCCAGATCGTCACTCGTAGGGTCACGCTGAGTCAGGAGTGCTGTCTCATCAGCAAATGACAGCCGACGTGGATTTGGTGGGCTGATGAGCATATAGGGGTCCTTCCCTGCTTTCTCCGGGGTAGGTTCCACAAATGCTGGCGTTGCCTCTGGGAGCTTCAATTTCTTGTTGGGAGCTGGGTTGGGTGATGGCTTCACAGGAGTCTGCAGCTTCTGTACAGCTGGGTTTGGCAGCATACCTTCCAATTCCTTGAGGGGAGAACCCAAAATGAAATCATGCAGATTTGATGTCATATCTATATAATATATATATATAATTTAATGGATCCTAGTATAATATATCATATAGTCTGGGGAAACAGTCATTTTTCAACATAACCCCAACCTGCAGTTCCTCTTCCCATTCGCGAATTTGGGAGTCCGGCTCAACCTTGCACTGCTGAAAGTCGATCTGCTGCAGGCCTTCCCTCAAAGTCGCTGAGCTGAACTCTCTGGACGGTAGCTCAGGCCGGCCGGGGGCCGAGGAAGCCATGAGGAATCAATGGGGTCTGGTGGGAACCACTCTTTGGAAAACACTTGAGGCTTGAGGTTTGCATGCCATGGATGCCAAAGTGTCCCCTACAGAAAAACATGAAAAACACAGCAAAACAGATCAGTCATTGCAACTTGCAATACATCGAGTTGCTCCCTGTTTTTCGTGAATTGACCTCACATCGTTGCAGAGCCTTGGTGAGACCTCGCCTATCCTAGCCCAAAGGGAAAAGCTTGCAGTCAATCACGCGCCAATTGGCTCACCAAAAGCAGGGGTCCACCATTGTAAACTTGAGCCTCATTCAGCCAATTGACACGTGATAAGCTGAATTGAAGTGCACTCGATTGCATCGTGCATCCAAAACACTCTCCAGGACCCCTATCACAGGTTATGTGGGACTCATTTGGAAGGTTGTGGTGCCACCAACCCTTCAAAATACAATTTTAGGAGGTGTTGTTGGTGCCTGGGGGCGTACAGTGGTGTACACTCTGTACGCGTACAGTACGTACGGGGATACTCGCCGTTTGTACGGCCATACTCGCCGTTCTACGGGTCCCTAGTGTTGCACATTTGATCAAAAAAGGGATCACAAAGTGGTGGGGAGGCAGTTTCGCCAATCCTGAGGGATTTCCAGGAGCTTTGAGCCCCGGACATACCGAATGGCCGCTGGTAAGCAGGCATCCACCCATGTATCCTCCATGGGCGCCTCTGCAAAAGCCTTTCGAAGGCAGCAGTCGGGGCTCACCTGGGCCGGTCAGGGCATCATCACGGTAAGAAAAAGTTACCCTGCCAAGGTGTAATTTTTGGTTTGTAGAAAGTTGTTGGAATTGAATGTTGCAAAGAAGGAACTTCAGGTATGCGGCGATGTTCTGCCACAAACAATGGGAAGCAGTCAATGATGCGCTTGGCAAACTTGTAGGGATATACCCTGAGCCAAAGAATGTCCAGGGGTTAGGGTACTATGATGCGCATGGTCTGTGCTGGTTGCTCAATTCAAACAACTGAGGCCACGTCTGGGATCGCTTTAGAAAACGGTTTCCAGTAAACCTGAGTTTCTTGTTCTTGTCCTTGTAGCGGTCAGTGGTTTGCACAGGGCATTGTTCCATTTGAGCCTTGGAGAGCTTGGGCGTAGCCAGGACCTTGATCATCCGGTTGTTGCACCATGTTACAGTCCTCTTTGGTGAGTCTCCTCCCCAAAGTCTCATCCAGAAAGTCATGCGGTAAATCTTAGGTGCGATGGGCCCGTGGCAGACAATAACAAATATTGGGAGGTATCAGGGTGGTATCCTAGAAAAACAACAGAACACAGTTTGCTACAAAAAACTAGGCTTCACTATTCGTCCATGGGGCTGGCACTTTTTGGAGCCACTTGCGAATTAGTTCATCCAGGCGGTCATGACGCATTAATAGTGATGTACGCGGCTGTTCCACAATCCACGTCGCCCCGACAGCTTGACACAACATTAGTAGAAGTGCCAGCCTCAATTGGCATATGCCCAACAAATCCCAAACAAATCCATTAAACCCTCAAACAATTGCAGTGCTGGGGCCAACACAAGAACCCAAAGGAGCCTTGCTTTAGTTGGACCAGAAACCTTGTCGCTTGCAAGTTCGCAGTTCGAACCTTTGCGTACTCGACATTCCCCATTGGACAAATCCAGGTTCGAAGGGTGGTTGATCTGGACGTTGATACCCACGATGAACACACTATGGCAAAGACTACAAGTGCAGCGTCAAGATCTGCCCGTAGTATTGCAATGAGGTCAACCTGGAGGAGGAGTTTGGAGGAGAGACTGCGACCCGATCCACTGGCAACCAAGTGAAACCAAAACAAAAGCTATTATGGTGATCCATTCCCCCCATCAAGCTAAAGTAACGCAAATCCACTGTCAGTGGTGGCATCCATTGATCCCTTCCTCCCCAACTCATCATCGTAGGCTATGTCGATGGCACATGCCTTCATGCGGTGTGCCCTGGCCCCACGAGCAATGCGAGCGGTTCCTGCATAGAGTTCCAAGACTTGATAGGACTTGCTGTCCAACATCGAGCAGGAGAGCCAGGAGCATAGCAGCACAAAAAACACAAAGGCCTGCGGTCGAAACAGTTGGGCCTGGGAATTCCCAAACAACATGCGACATGGTTTAAGGGTTGAAATTCATTGCCATCCCAAAACGATTGATCCACACCATGCCTTGGGAGCCCCAAGGCCCATGAGCCGCCGCAGTACCAAGTTCATGTCATCAGGGCGCACCATGTTGGAGGGGAGCAGTAGCCTACCCTCAAGATCCCTCAAGTAGTTGATCCTAAAATGCTCTTGCAGAAAAGATATGCCGCATGATGGTATCAATCAATCCCACTATGCGCAGCTGCCCTGGAATCAGCA